AGGGGTCTCTTTTATGAGGACATAAATCCCATTCATTAGGCTCCACCTCATGACCTAATCACCTCCCAACCAGCTCAGGGGGATTAGGATTTCAACATCTGAATTTGAGAAGACATAAACATGAGTCCACAGCCCCGTGGAACTATCCTTCCATGTGCTTTGTTCTTGACAGGGAAAAGCAAAGGTGAAGTTGTGAGTTGTCATAGCAGGATGCCAAGGCTGTGAGCCTACTCTGGGGGTCTGTGAGGTCCCACTAACCCTGTTACTGCACCTCCCCACTCCCCAGTTTGGGTGCAGGATCCAATACCCTGTGTTCTGGACTTTCCAAGACCATAGCAATTCCCAGCATGTGTCTCTCCCACCGTCACACACCATGTGCTTCTCCTGGAAGTGATTCTGATCCTGTGGTCCCGGTGATGGAAACCAGTGAAGAAAGCAAGAGGCTGGGAAAAGAAAGGACCTCACAGGGTCGAGGCAAGGGGAGCAAGAAGAAGGGAGAGCAAAGATGGGGTGGAAGGCCCACCCCCAGGGTGACCTGGTGCCCCTCCCCAGGGAAGGAGAGGGGCTGGGTTTTACCATAAAGGCAGTCACACTGCCAGATCCACAGTGCAAAGTGGGAGGTGTGCAGGAGAGGGGCTAAGGTGGCTGATGACCACGTTAGAGGGGACAGATGGTTGAGGATGGGGGAGTGAGGGCAGGGGCAGGGGCTTGGCTTGGGAAGGCATCAAGGACACCTGTGCCAGCAACAGAAACACTGAAGCCCACCCTGCGTGCGCTGGTGCTGGGTATGTTCCGCTGACTGATACACTTGCACCAGGACCTTTACATCTCTAGTTCCCACATTCTTGCCCACCGAATCCTGCTTTCAAGAGCCTGCTTTGCTCCCCTGCAGGGGCTGAACCCCACTCCCGAGACAAGTGGGGTGAAGGCGGGTGGGGTCAGTGGGCTTGTAGAGGGCTCCTTCCCCACGTGTGGACCATTCCGGACTTTTAAGGTCAAGCTAATGGAAAATGATGGAAAATGACCCACAATAAAGAATTGCCTGACTGCCACTCCCCGCCTCCCTCCAAATCTTCCAAAGACATCTCTACAAAACGTCATGTCCAGAGTTAGAGGTTTAAAATGCAACCTCTTTGGGATCCGTGGGTGGCGCAGCAGTTTGGTGCCTGCCTTTGGCCCGGGGTGCGATCCTGGGGACCCGGGATCAAGTCCTGCGTTGGGCTCCCGGTGCATGGAGCCTGCTTCTCCCTCTGCCTGTGTCTCTGCCTCTCTCTCTTTCTCTCTCTCTGTGACTATCATAAATAAATAAATAAATAATACCTTTAAAAAAATAAAATAAAATAAAATAAAATAAAATGCAACCTCTTTAGGTGAACAGTTCTTGTAGTTTTGCCTAAATAAAGGGGGAAGTGAGCAGATCCAGAGAGTTAAAGGCAATAACAGAAATGAAGTGGAGCACTTTTGCCTGATGTGCGAGGCATCTGCTGGAATTCATGGGGCTCAGTGTGAACACATGATGCTCAGAGCCCAGGAAATGGAGACAACCCTTGGCTCTGGTGGTCCTGACCCCACAGAGAGCTGCTCTCTGCCTCTGAAAGCTCATTCTGTGTCCACCAGAGACAAAAGCATCCCTGGGGGACCAGATGGGGTCGCAGGTAGAGCTGGCTCTGCACAGAAGGTGAGGCCCCGCAAATCTGAATATCTCTTCATCTGCCCAGAGAGGCCAGGATAAATGTCTCCATCAAGGACGGTCACCAGCGACTCAGAGATGGGGGCAGGGCTCAGCATCCAAGGGCTGATTCCTGCAGTCAGCAGCTATGGGGGCGGGGGAGTTCAGTGCACCTGCAGTCCCTCTGTCCCCCACCCCCTTGTCCTGCCTGAGCTGATTCAGATCCCAGACTCTGGGCGAGTCAAGAGCCTCTGTCAAGGGGAGATTCACTTACCCTGTAAGACATTGAGCCCAAAGAGTGAGATTTATGAGAGGCATTCTGAGCAAATGTGAAGCTGCTGAGGCTAGGGGATTCCATGTCCAAAACTTCGTTTAAAATATGATCAATAGGGCAGCCTGGGTGGCTCAGCGGTTTAGCACCGCCTTCAGCCCAAGGCATGACCCTGGAGACCTGGGATCGAGTCCCACATCGGGCTCCCTGCATGGAGCCTCTTCTCCCTCTGCCTGTGTCTCTGCCTCTCTCTCTCTCTGTGTGTGTCTCTCATGAATAAATAAATAAAATCTTAATATATATTATATATATTTATATATATCATATATAAAATATGATAAATAACCACATCCGAACTGAATGGGGAACTGGCTTCTTTTTGGTGTCTTGCGGGTTGGTTCTGCTCTAAAACCATTGCTCTCATGTCTCAGATGGTGCTTATTTGCAGCGTAAAAGAAAAAAAAATCTTGGAATCTCCTTTGTAAAAAACAAAAACAAACACGCCCACTCTATCAGAGGCCCCTTTATATACACAGGTTAGTTAGGTTTTACCTGAAAAGGGTGCATAGTTTTTGTTCAACGTATACCTACAAGCCACGTGATTCATTTAAAGAAGTTCACAAATAAAAGTGAGTAAAGGGACTGAAGTCTAGTCACCCAGACCCAGACACAGATTCGGGAGTTGTTCTGCTTTACTTGTCCTCATTAGGAGTTCTTTCTGCGGCATAAACACAATAGACAATTAATGTTCCCGGAATGATTAAAATGTCTCCCTGGCAAAATGGGTTCATGGATTTATTAGGTGCTTCGCTTTTGGAGAAAGCTAAGTCACTGCAATTCTTTTGTCTTGTGCAAAAATTTTCCATTTTTGGCAGAAGTTAGAGTAAGGTTTTTGCCCATTGCCCACAAATTTGTTTTATCTGGTACATTATGTTGAGGAGAATGTCACTGAATACAATCACATCTCTGTGCCCATCTTTTCTGTGTTCTCATGATACCATGTGTGGAGGGGTCCCGATGGCAGAGGTGACAGGGAGAGTGACAGGGGCTGACTGGGGGAAATAGTTGCAGTTCTGCTTAACTTTTCTGTTGGACCTCAGGAGCAAGCCTCCCATTTTTCTCCTGAGGAAAAAGAAGGGATTTGGGGTAGCTGCTGCCTGGGGTCCCTTGCAGCTGAAGGTGACCTCAGTGTATGATGCTGACCTCTCAGGTGCCTTGTCCACAGACACCTGCAGGCTGTAACAGCCCCCAATACAGTCACCCAGAGGGTCACTTCTTCATTTCTCTTGTCCACTACCCTCTGCTTTTGGACTCAGAGCTGGAGGGGTGTCTGGGGCCCATGACCCCCAGAGGGCGGCCTGCCTGGAGCCAGGGATGCATCCACGCTGCCAGGCCACTTCAGTGCTCACCCCACCGGACGATTCAGAGTCCTAGGCCCCTCCACCCTGAAGCAAGCTGGTCCTGGGCCCCATCTCTCTGGGGCTGGGCCCTCTGGTCACCCCCCACTCCAGTGGCCGGGCCGCTGAGCTTGCTCACAGGCAGCCAGCCCCAGGCCAGGGCCCAACTGCAGGACACAGCTCAGCCTCTGAGCAGGTGGGGGATTGCTGAGACCCGCAGTGCGCATCTCCCTGAGGCGGCTTCAGCTCAACATCAAATAAAAACCAATCCAGACTTAGGAAGGGGAGACTTTATTGGAAAGGATTATCGCAGTGTGGGGAACATTCTGATAATCGGGTCTACATGCTTCTAGAGTCAGGGAAAGGAGATGGCACAGGGCTTGGAAGAACTCGGTGTGGGGATATGGGGACAAACAGTGGATGGATGGGGTCAGAGGATGTCCCAGCCCCCAGGACAGGCAAGGGGAGACTTCTCAAGGGCAGCAGTGACTGCCTTCTGCCTTGGTGCTGGAGCAGGCCCCTGGACTGGCCACACAGACATGGGGCTGTGCAGAGGGACCCAGGCAGGTAGAGGCCTCCATCTACCCACCCTGAGCTCCCAGCAAAGCTCTGGTTAAGGGCTCTGTACACGAGCCCCAAGAAGAGGCTTCTAGGAGCCCAGGCACGAGGTCTGTGGGGAGAGGTGGGTGATGGGACTCTGCTTGGGGTCCCCACAGGCCACTGCATTAGGGCTTCTGGGAGTGAGACCCGACATCGGTTGTTTTCTTTCTTTCTTTTTTTTTTTTATCATTGGTTGTTTTCTGAAATGCCCCCATGTTGAAGGAGCCTTGGCACAGACCCTAGGGGGCTGGTGGGTCAAGGAGAGAACATTCCCCACAGAGGAAAGGATTCAAAGAAAAGATCAAGATGGAAATCAGCTTCCAGGAGCCAGAGAATATCCCAGGGGACTTGAGTCAGCGTGGAGGGCGAGAGAGGTGGCTCCGTGGAAGGACACAGTGCGGGGAGGGTCCCAGGTCCTCCACACGCGGGGGCTGCTTCTCCAGCACCCAGACCACGGCATCCCCCAGGGCTGCTGCCTCAGCTGGGCTTGCGTTAGGGACTCAACTTTTCTCCTGGGCAAGTTCCTACAGCAAATCCTTCACCATCTCACTCATTTTCAAGTGCACGACTCAGTTCATCCACATTTTGTTTTACTGTGTGAGCCTGGTTCCATGTAATCATTTGTTGTTTTATTTTTGACTCAACTATTAAATCTGAATGTCAGCACAGAGCTTGACTTGGTTTTTGGATCAGAAAGGGTGTGAAAGTAGTAGCTGATTCCAGGTACATGCACCTAGAACTTTCTGTACCGGGTGGGGGGGGGGTTGTGTTGTGTGAGTGAGGAAACATGCTTTCACATCATATACGTGTGTTTATTATATATAGGAGTATCCATAACATCTTATTTTTTAGGTTATTTATTTATTTATTTATTTAAAAGAACAGCCTTACTTTAATCAAGTTCCAGCAAGAGGGCACACTGCTTTGGAAAGCATTTGTCTCAGCAGAAAACGCAAGGGTGTGTGTAAAAGAATGTTTCTAGAAAATACCAAAGGCACCAAACAGAACCCTAACTTTGCCTTCCATTTCCCCTTGATGCCGCTGCATACCCTGGGTGGGGAGGCTACTTTGTCCAGCTGACTTTTGGAAGGTCATAGTGCTCCGTAAGGGTGTCCAAGTGTCTGTTGAAGTCCTCAACTCTCTGCTTGTGGATTTTGGGTGCTTTCTTTAGGATCCTTTCCATTTGCCACTTCTGACTCTTCTCGAAAGCCGCCTGGGCCGGGGTACGCTTGTCCAGGCCGCGCCACTTCTCCTCCTCGTTCTTTTTGCTCATTCCCATCACTTCCAGGAGTTTCGCCTTGTCTTTGTCCTTCTGTTTCTTCTTCCGCTTGGTCACGCTGAACTCCGCAGCGCCTTTTAGTTTCAGGGGCCCCTTCTGAACCTGCTCATAGGCCACCGTGATGCCGCTTGCTTTCCTGTAGGAAGGGAGAGAGAGAGATTGAGAACAGGAGCAGAGGGAGCAGGAGAGGGAGAAGCAGGTGCCCCACAGAGCAGGGAGCCTGATGTGGGACTCGATCCCAGGACCCCGGGATCACAAGCTGAGCCGAAGGCAGACGCTTCACCTACTGAGCCCCCAGGCGCCCCAATAACATCTCATGAGCAGTCACAGGGTCTGATAAAGAACTTACCCAGGGAGGGGAAGTCGGGGTCGGGGGTGCGCTGCTGGCCCCTGGCAAGCTGGGGCTCGGGGTTCACGGCCCACCTGGCTCCACTGCCCTTCCCCACAAGCATAAATAAATGTTTTCTTTCTTCTCTGAGAACATCTGTCAAACTGAGGTGTCAGCTCCCTACAAAAGCAGAACCGAACATGGTGCAGGAGAGACGGGGGAGGTTGGGCTTCCGTGCACCCGGGGCGGCCTGCTTGGTGGTCCCAGCTCTCGGTGGGCGGGTCCACCTTCTGCTCCCCCCCTCCCCCCGCGCCCTTCCCTCCCACTGCGAGGCGGCCTCTAAGACCCTGTGGGTGTTGGACCGTTACGAAGGCAGTGCACACACCCTCACATGTGTATGGTGCACACACTTCTATGGGCACTCACACACCACACGTTTCTACACATACATGCTTGCACACGTCACATATGCGTGTGTATTGCACTCACACACACACGCACCTTGTCACGGGTGCCCACACGTGTACGCTACTCTCACACATGCACACATGCAATCTCTCACATACACACTCTCACACGTACATGTGTGCACACATGCACACACATCCACACTCACACACGTATGTGCACACGCACATATACATGCACACAATCCCTCACAGGTGCACACAGGTACACACACAATCACTCATGCACAATTGGCATCCAGTCCCGCTCACCTCAGAGGTCCAGGATTCCTCTTTCCCAGGCTCATGATCCATTTCCCTTCTCCTTCCTTTTTTACAAATTTATATTTTCCATCAGTAAACAGGTTGGTTTTGGGAGTGGAGTGCAGCAGAGGTTCACTAGCTCGAGAAAATCTCCCGATCTCCCCGCACCTCGGCGCCACCCTCTCAGGTTACCACCCAGTGATCCTTCCGTGGGAGCCACTTCCGGAGCGCGTCCCACCCACCCTCCTCCGAGGAACTGCCGAGGGTTGGCTGTCCCTCTGCTGCACATGTGTCACCCCTGCCCTGAAAGCCACGGACAGAGGCACCCAGAAATTTTGGATGGAAGAAAACCAATGGTGCCAACTGAGGGCTGAATAAATGCATATTTTATAAGGAGTCAGTGACTGCTGTCTACCTCCCACAGGCTGGTGCGAGAGCTGTGTAAATTCACAGCTTGCTAGTCTCTGACCTTGATTTTGGCCCTTGCTCCTTAGGTCTGCCGAGCCTTCCACTGATGCCTGCCGCCAGGCCCTGGAGCTGTGGGTGTCTGATGGCGGGTGTGGCCCGGTCTCCAGCCACTGTGTGCCCCTGCCACCTGCTGTGGCTTCCTTGTTCCCTGCTGGCTGTGACTCTGGGGAGGGGTGGGGCGTCCACAGGAGGGTCAGGAGCTCTGGAAATGCCTATGGAGATATTTCTGCTTTACAGCTTCAGTTTGACCTCATTTCACATTTAAATGTTGCTTTTCTCATGGAAGCAGGAGAAGGCCCCCTTATCTCTCATGCACTGGTTCATTCATTCAGATGTATTTATTGGGCACAAACTGTGTGCCTGAGATGAAGGCACTGGGGCACAAAACAGGATGGCAAGACGGCTGTGCACAGAGCCCACCGTCCGGGGAGAGGGACCTGCGGCAGGGGAGCCTCTGGGAAGGACCTGATGCATCTCCTGCTTTGTTTGTGTATGTGTGTGTGTTTAAGATTTTATTTATTTATTCCTGAGAGATACAGAGAGAGAGGCAGAGACACAGGCAGAGGGAGAAGCAGGCTCCCTGCAGGGAGCCCGATGCAGGACTCGATCCCAGGACCCCGGGGTCACGACCTGAGCCACAGGCAGGCGCTCAACCACTGAGCCACCCAGGCGCCCCATCTCCCACTTTGCTAAGTGTTAGCCAGGGTCCGTCTCTCCCCTCAGCACATCCTGCGAGTCGGCTCGGTCCAGAGTGAAGTGAAATGCACAATCAGCAAGGACCAGAGTGGGTGGAAGGAAGGCCCATCCCCAAGGCCATCAACAGAGAAGCTGGGAAGCCCAGGATTCCAGGCCCCACTAGGCAGAGTCCTCACCGCTGCCAGTCACAAGTGACCCAGCCCCTCCCTGGGCAACGATGGGGTCATGTTATGGGGAGGGCCAGAATTGGGGAAAGAGCCTTTGGTGAAGTTAGAGAAATTTATGTTTTTCTCACAGCCAAGCTCTGGGGTGTTTTGCGTTTGTTTCTCAGTTTGGAAGGTGGGTGAGCTTACTGCGAGGGTCTTGTGATGCGGGCACAGGCAGGTAAGAGGGCTGCTGGTGCTGAGCCCCCACAGTGAAAGACGCAGGCTGGGGACCTGCCGGTGTAAGTAGAGGGGTTGGACCCAGGAAGACCCCAGCAGGACGCTCCCGAGGGAGGGTTACGGTGGCCAGATGAGCAGGGGCTGCAGGGGAGAGCACACATGAACCGGCATGAGGGGTTGAAGCCCTAGTCTTAGGGTGCCGTCCTCACGGGGGGCAGGGAGAAGCCGACACAGGGCTGGTGCAGTCTTGTCCTCCACCCTGACTTCCTCCCATTTGTGCTGATAGGGCTCTGCTACTTGTCCGCTTGGTGAAGAACTTTCTTTTTTTTTTTTTTTAATTTTTTTTTAATTTTTATTTATTTATTTATGATAGTCACAGAGAGAGAGAGAGAGAGAGAGAGAGGCAGAGACACAGGCAGGGGAAGAAGCAGGCTCCATGCACCGTGAGCCCGATGTGGGATTCGATCCCGGGTCTCCAGGATCGCGCCCCGGGCCAAAGGCAGGCGCTAAACCACTGCGCCACCCAGGGATCCCGGTGAAGAACTTTCTAATCCCATCACGTGGAGCAGGTGTGTTGTTCCTGGGGAGGGGTCAGAGGTGGGACTCTGGTCAGGGGAGATGACACTGGGGGGAAAGTGAGGGAGCTCCTTTGCCCCATGCCTCTCCTCTCAGCTGAGTGAAGGAGGAAGTCTCCGCCTCCCCGGATGGGCCACTGCACCACCCATGGTCCCACAGGCACCCAAAGACAAAGGATGGGTGGATCCTGATCCTAAAGACCCCAGCGGACCTGTAGCTTCCCAAAGGGCACCCTTTAGAAAGGAAACATGTCCCTGCACGTGTGAGCACAGGCCTGTGGCCCACCAACCCACACCAGACCCCCACGCTGGCAGAGCTCCTGCCCAGTGGTGCTGCAGGTGGGCACCTGCTGTGGGCCAGGCCCTGCCACTGTCCTGGATGCCCGTGTGCCCCCCGTGTCGACGCCTCCACTCCGGACTAGGGCGTGCCCCCAGCTCCCAGCCAGCCACCCCCCTGTCCCACCAGGGCCCCTGCCAGACCTGGGCTCTCAACACATTAGCCAGTCTCAGCATGTGCCCTTCGGAGAGAAATCCGACGTGCTCCGTGACCCCTGGGCTGTGGAGAGATCAATAAAAGGACATGTGAGGTTGCAGCAAGATTGAAGACACCTTTGAATTAGAAGAGTCCATCGTGACGTCCTGCTGGAGCAATAAAAGAAGAAAAAAGAGGTGGAATATAGGATCCATCTGGTCAAATCCCCTGAATTCCCAGTAAGCCCAGTAATTTGACTTGATGTACTGAGGGCTACAGGGAGTGACGGGCACCAGATGAAAGCCTGTCTCCTTGAGCAGTTGACATTCCCATGAAAGTAAATACTAGGGACAGAGAAGTAGCCCCGTGATTCTCCAGCGGGAGTGGCCTTGGGAGTCACCCAGGGGGCTTGCTGAAACCCACCCAGAGATCGAAGTCGGCGGGTCTAGGTGGGGCCCCATCATAGGCTTTTCTCAACTTCCCCCGTGATGCCGACACTGCGGGTCCAGGGACCCCCCTCTGAGAAGCTCTGAGGTTGTCCCTTCAGCTCGGCCCCATGGCAGTTCCACAGCCCTCCAGGGTCTAGCCACTGGATGAAGGAGGTCACGCGAGCAGGGTGGCTGACGAGTCACAGGGAGCTCAAGGATGGTTGCATGTAGGTTGATCCCACGACTGTTCTCAAACCCGAGAATCACTAAGCATTGGGGTCAAAGACACTGGATTCTTTTATTCTTCTCCTGACACATGGGGATTCAGTTTTTAGCTACGATCTCCTTCCAATTGATGTCAGCTAATAATGGGCAGAATTACACCCTCTCGATTACTCTCGAATGCCCTGTGGTATTTAAAACATCTTTTGTTTCCAACATCCTGGAATATTTAACTGACCCTTTTCCAGATCAAATAACATCCCCTGCGTTTTGATTTATTTACAGTTTTTCTGAGGCCGCAGGAAAGCCAAGCCTTATTGTTGGCGCGCAGCTGGGTTTTTTCTGCCCTCTGCTACCTGGAGGTTAATTGAAGCAAACATCCTACAAAGGAGAAAGTGCCCCAACACGTGGCAGAAAAGTGAGTGGCCTCAGGCCCGGCCTGCTGCCCATTACCAAGTTCAAACAGCAAAAACCCCAAAGGAGGGTGCCCCAGAGTGGGAGTGACCCCCACACAGGCCAGGGTTTCCTTCTCTGAGAACAGACTGTGCTGCTTCTGCTGTTGTCTTTAACACTTGGTTTTGAAATAACTGCCAAATTAGAGGGAAAAAAAATTTTAAAAATTCCACTTACTTATTCATGAGAACAGAGAGAGAGGCAGAGATACAGGCAGAGGGAGAAGCAGGCTCCATGCAGGGAACCCGATGTGGGACTTGATCCCAGGACCCTGGAATCACACCCTGAACTGAAGGCAGATGCTCAACCACCAAGTTCCCCAGGTGCCCCAGGAGAAAAATTTTAAAAATTAGAAAAAGGACACCTGTATACCCCGTACTTAGAATTAACGGCTGTTTCCT